TAACCGAGCTAAGTCGGTCTGTATGGGAGAATCTTGACCTCGGTCAAGATTCTCCCATACAGACCGACTTAGCTCGGTTAATAAGAGCTAAGTCTTAATGCTATAAGAAAAAAACTTACCTTGTTTTTCCATGCGCACTCTTTCCAGTTCTTGTAAGCCATCACACCAGGGGTCCCAGGGATTTCACTTGTTCCACTCTCTCCGCGCTGCCCCTTTTCGTCGGGAAGGCCCTGGATTCCAGGTTCTCCTTTTGCGCCATTCTTTCCATTGGAACCTGGACGTCCCTGTTGTCCAGTCTTTCCCGGGCTGCCCCGGTCACTTTTGACTCCTTCACGGCCATCACAGCCATTACGACCTGGTGTCCCAGGAGACCCAGGCTTTCCGTGCATACCAGGGATACCACCATAACAGAAAGCAGGAGGCTGCTGGATTGGAATGAGAAAAATGTCATGAATTATTCGGGATTCACATCATTATTTCAACGCTGTTTTTACCAGTCACTCACATACAGAGTTTTTGTAATTTGAATTAGTTACAGTGAGTCAATTCTCAAGGAGCGGTACTTTACTACATTTAACAATTATCCGCCAAAGGCAAAGTGAACATTGGTAAATATCGGCACTTCTGAAAATTATACTTACAATAATATTACCTTATATTTAATTAGCGATATTGCCGCAACTAAAAAAAATTAAAATTCAACGGTATTATGGGTATGCCAAGTCAAGAAATCATACGAAATCTGTTGGTGGAGATTTTTACTAGTCACAAAATACTTTGTTCTACTCATGGACGCTCAAATTTTACTCAGGCTTTTTCTTGTTTTTAAAGTTTATACCAGGAGCCATAATGTTTATACTTCTTAATTTTTCTTCCTACTAAAATCAGGTTCCTGCAGTTCTCCTTGCTTTGGTTGCAATTTTTTGCAAGTTTTAAACTGAGAAAGGGAAATACATGTACTATAGTCTATATTCAAGGAAAGCCCAGATTGTTTGCGCGGCTCAACTGGAAAGCTATAAATAGGGCAACGTAGACGCATCTGTAATGTCCAAAGTTAAATCAATATTTGTAACGAAATGTCGTTTTACTCTTGCCAGAAATTAACATTTGTCAGATAACGCAATAACTCACCATTTTGCATGATGGTTGAGTGGTTTTGTTATTTGCTGCGGCACAGTACATCAGTAAAAATATCGCAGACAGGGACAACAAGGACATCACAGAGACATTATGTGAAATGAACGCCATTATTTTCTTACTTCGTTACGATCTCGCTACGGAAAAACGTTTACAAAGACCAGATCAGTGCACATTTAGGTAGGGATAACG